ACAACAATTATTCTAAGCTCGAATTCTGAACCCTGAACCAGAGATTCTGGGTTCAGTCCCCAACAGAGTCCTCAGGGCTGTCACACCTCCTTTTTTTCCTACACCCCGGAAAGGGTATAAGGAAGTTTTTTTCCAACTTAAAGTGACAATCGAAACGGGATTCATTTATTATTAAAAATTCAGAGTCGCCACTTGGGATAATTTGTGGTGTCCCAAGTCACCGGTTCAAATCTCGAATCGAGGAAAAGATTGACTCTATTTTACAGTCCACGAACACAGAAATCCGGGTAAGGAATTCTGTTAACCCGGGAAGGTGTTAGGCATTCCCGAGTTTCGTGGTTCTAGCACGGTCGCTTTGATCATACTTGGCTTATTAAAATTGTTTAATTACTGACTTGAGACCCTATATGCATTTATCCTTTACCTCTTTTTTATTAAGAAAATTATCTTGAAACGGGTCACGCGTACGTGTACCTGTTTGTTTGGCGCATCAAAAATCATGTCACGCGAACGTGTCTACAATTAATAACACTTTATTATTATAAAAAAAAGTTTGGCCAAAGTTGCGCGTGCTTAAAGCAAACTACGAACATTTGTCATTTTTGTATGATTAAATGGTAGGCGGCACACTTCGGACTATATGAGCTAATTTAATTAATAACCTCCGAAAACTCATTTTTTTTATTTAGAAGGTTTGTTCGAAGTTGCGCGAACGCATACTCCGAATTGTTTTTTTAGAATTGTAATCATGTCACGCGAACGTGTACACAATCACAATTGTATTTTAAAGATTAAGATTGTTTTGCTCAACATTGCGCATACATGGGTCTTAATTCTGGAACCCGTAATCGTGCCACACACAACAGAAAAAGTTATTAAAAGGTTTTACGCCTGTCAAGTTCTTTCTCAACTTATTCATTTTTAGAATTTAGCCCAATAGACCTCTCTTTATTTCAATATCTACCCGATTAGCTCACAAAACAAACCAAATAATCATTCCAACAGGCACATCATGAGATTGAATTTAGAAACCCTTTGTGATCAAATCACTTCGAAATTGCCTAGGAGGAATTAACAACATATTTAGATTTGAGACCAAGAGAAGTCCATATCGTTAAGCGCACGAAATCATTAGCCGGATTACTAAAGCTCAAGATTTTTTGCATCAATATGTAGTACTTTAGACATGAGTAAGAATCAAAAATATATTTTTCTTCCTACTAATTAGCAACCATCAAATTAAAGGGCCATAATCATTCGCCCAATTGATATGATTATCTCTTTTAAAGAAACTAAACCAATTGGTTTGTAACATTGGGGAACTGGGCCGATCTTAAAACGGAATTGTACTAACCCCAACTAACAGTGAAGGAACCTATTTTGAAGCAAATAAAAGAAAACTCATGCATCAGGGCTTATCACTTTCATTTCTTGTTAATTTTAAAATTCTGGGCCCAAATTGAGCCCAAGAAGAAGGCCCAAATTCTTTAAAACCTCAGAACCAACACCAATTAGACTCGACACCGAGTCTGTATCGTGATCCGGCGATGGCTGAGCAGCAAAAGTTCAGATTGAACCTAAATAGCTAGTCATAACATACAAACAACTCCAAGATTTTGAAAATAGAAAACAATTAAGGATCCAATTATTGAGAAACTATATAGCATATGATTCTAAATTTTCAAGGCCCTAATTAACTTGAAATGCTATTTTTTAAAATTTAATTAAACATCACGTGGACAAAACTTGTAGAATTTAAAACAACCAAATCTACTCAATTGACATGCAAGCAACAATAGATAACCAGTGAATAACTTTCAACATAACTAAACTAACTTGAATTTCCCCTAACACTGATAGTTGCCAAACCAGTATATTAGAATCTGGTTCCCTCATGAATTCCAGAAAATCATACTAAAGTTTTCAATATGATCCTTAGACATTTCAAACTCATTCAGGAGCAAATATAAACATAGAACATGTTTGCCAAATTCTTCGAACCATACTGATCTCAAATAAGCATCATACGTACATGTCCAATTACCTATACATACAACTATTGAATATGTATAGCAGAATCATACATACATGTCCAATTACCCATACAAATAACTACTGAACATACACAACATTAAATGTGCAAATGATAGCTTAGATAACCTCTAAAACTACATATTTATTACAGAATATTAAAGCAGTACGAGAAACAGGGGTAAACTAAGTTCAAATGCAGTCTGTATCCAATTAATATTCTATCTGATTTATATGTTCAACAATCAATCATCATTCAGGGGCTAAGAAGGTACCTGAGATTGAAGGGACAAAGAAATAAAGAAGGATCAACAATTTTTAAACAGCAGAAATCGACAGCACCAACAACACAGCCCCAGATTCAGCAAGTGAACCCAAAAAATTGATTTAAAACCCAATGGAATAGTAGTCTTTAACATAATTTGATCAAAACCTTCCAAAAAACTAGTATCAAACCAACTCAAATCCCATCACTGAACATTACTGTTTTCCAAAGCTTAAAAAAATCAGGAATTACTGAGGCTCAATGGTACAGCAGAGAGTTTTCAGCCGATTTATCAGATTCTTATTTCTAAAAAAATTCTGTATTTTTCAATACTTTCAGAATGTCAGAATGTTCTTCTCCTCTCTCAGTATTTCAGAATCTCTCTTGTCTTCTCTGTATTCAATCTCTCTCTCAGAATGTTTTAGCCTGCCTCTTCTATATCTTAAGCTCTATCTCTTTCTCTATCTCTATCTCTTACTCTATATCCCTCTCCTTCTTCTGATTTTCAGCTCCCTTAAATGGGGATTCAATTAGTGCATTTTCCACTATAACTTATCTTCTCCATTTTAAATTATCCACTCAAATTAGTGCTTTTAGTTAATTCAATAATGCAAATACTACCTTACCACTATTAGAGGCTTCTCAATTAGTGACCACTTGCATAAAACTTATAATAATCAATTCTTATTAACACAATTAAACAAGAATTTAAACCAAATTATTAAACTAATCCTAATTATTCTAACTAAACCAAGAATACGAAGGTCTTAGAGGTTACCATAATTAACAGAAGAAATCAAGAATTCATATGACATGAATAATAGCTAAAGAAGCTCATGAATAAACCAGACCAAATCGACGAACAATTTTTAGTTCGACACAGAAACTAAACTAAAAAAACAAATCGAATCCGACCAAACAACCCTTCTAAAAATAAAAGAAAGGAGTAGAGGAAGATAATAAAAAAAATAGAAAAACCTAAAATCATGACACCTACCTCCAAATGATTGAACCCCATCTTGAATTAGATATTCAATTTTTCAAATATGAAGCCGGAATAGACCTTAATCGAGTGTTCTCGACTGAGAACACACAACTAAGGTCGATTTCGACCTCAAACCTTC